CTGTCAGCACCCTTTGCCGCTAACTTTGCCGCATGCCTAGGCTGCTTGCTATCCCTGGAGAGGTGGCGGAACTCGTGGCATCGCAGACAGCGCCGTGGCAACTAGCAAGTCGCTACTCGATGTGAGTAGAAAAGACACTTGAAACATCTGCCGTGAAGCCCCGCGAGGATCTTCTGGGACAGCAGAAGCTGCTTCTCAACCGAGAAGGATGCCGGTCGCGTCTCCTGCCAGTGGACGATCTCCCGCCACCCATCAGCGCTGGGGATGGAAACCTATCCGCGACGACCAAGGCACTAGAGGGCGAGGACGTGGCCTTCCGTGGGTCGAGCAGACAGGCCGTGCACGAGCTGAGGGTGCGGCCGGCTACGCTTCCTCCATCTTCGCCCAGACCCTCGTCGCCCCTCGTCTGCTCCGCCACAGCCTAAAACCACGACCGAAACGAGTTTGGGCGCGCGACGAGGAAGCAGCTATCGGCTTGGCTGGCCAACGAACAACATCCAGGTAGGTTGCTAGGGGCATTGTCAGAATTCTTGCCACCGTCATCTTCGTCCTCATCCGCCCACCGACGACGCTTTTACGTCTTCCCGAGGCGCAACCTAGGTAGAACGGAGCCGCCACTAGTGAGAGGGTGGAGGAGCTTGGGGTGTCCGGCTTCACCACGACAGGCCCAGAAGGTCTAGACTTGGGTCTAAAAGGCGGCGTGGAGTGGTCATAGATGTCAGGAGTAGCACTCCCATTGCCATCCGGCTGGTAGGGCGCGCAGGCCCCATGCTGGGTGGCCGTCTCGGCTGCGGGAGCCGGCCTCGGCGGCGAAGGGGATTGCGGCGCGTCGAGCCTTACTAGCTCGGGCTCCTCCGGTGGCGGCCCGTGACCGGCGGCCGCGCGATCGTGCTGTGCGCGAGGGGGGGCGCCTGCGCTGGGCTCGCCCGAGTCACCGGTAGCCATGGATCCGCCCGCCCGGTACCCGCCCGCACCGGATCCGGCCATCGTCGAGGCCGGTGACGGCTGCCGCGCCCCAGCGTCGGCATCCGAGGGCTAGGAGGCCACGGCGGCGGCGGTATCTAGCCCCGGTGGCGGAGGAGGAGAGGTTTGCTTTGGGGAGGGAGGGGAGGGCGGGTAGGTGGATCCGGCGGCGGCCCACGTCGGCGCCGGCGAGGTAGTGGGTGAGCTCCGATCGCAAGCCTTGGAGACGGGGACTTGTGGGGAGGGAGGAGGAGGGGGGGAGGAGGGAGGGGAGGGCGCGGGGGCGGCTGGCGCCAGCGTCGGCGGCGGTGGGGGTGGCGGTGTTGCCAGGGGCAAGGGCTTCGGTCCTTCCGCGACGCGGTTAGAGTCACAGTTCCCTCAGAGATCTATCTTACTTAACTGATAATCAAAACGTGGTGGATTTCCTCAACTCAAGTCAACCAACCTTACCCCACCACATTCAAAAAAAACTCACCACCTCACTTGAGGATCAAGCCTTCAACCTCTCAATGTCTTCAATCCGACAGATGAATGCATCACAAGGCCTAGAAGGCCGACCGAGCTCTGGATTGAATTGTGCATTCTCTCTAGCCACAAGTGAAAATACTACGGCGTTTTGGTTGTACTCCTATTCACTCTAGGCACGCAAATAAATGGGCTTAGTAAACCTTTGACGTGGTGTGTGTTATGAGAGGGGCTTTGCTACAGTACCTCCAAATAACCATGAGCTGTTGAACTAGATGATTTTTATCATATATTACCCTCTAGGAGGTAATAGAAGGAGCAAGTATATATATTAACAAAATAGGTAAAATATCTTGCAAATAGATCTAATTTCCACATCATTTTAGATCTAGCTTGCATGGATGACGTAGATAGAATCAACAAAACAAAGTTTCTGTATTTGTGATAACGTGACGTAACATGCTAAGGTGCTTTTTAAACATTTTTTTGTAACCCTTCTTTCCACACACGTTTACATGTACCACGCCACTTGCTAAAATGCAGTGATATCCCACACAAAGTCATACATGTATTACTCAATCCTTTTTCGGTTAACCTTTTTTTTTGGATCGGTGTGGTCAACCTTTTTATGATACAGCTTCCACGCATTAGTGCATAAGAAAAAAAATCATTTGAAACATAAGTGCTTACGTGACATTCTGTTCTTACCCGCATGCGACCTCAAGGCCGCAAAACAGGCAGGGCCGCTGCATGATCCTGGGATGATTTGTTTCTTTAATTGTTGATCACGATTTTCAATTTTAGACATTTTAGTTACTTATAAACATTTGTACTTATATAAAATCAAGGGCTGTGATTTGTTGGAACTCTTACCTCCTGCGAGGTAATAGATGTACCATAGCAAAACCCTTATGAGAGAGAGATTGAGGAAAAAAAATGGCTACAACTGTGGTGCTCCGCACGGGCACCGCGGGCAACCAGGCAGGTGACTAGGTGAGTGCGAGGGCCTGTTTGGTTCTGACCCTGATGAAAGCGCCTGGGCCAGACAGCTCCCCGGGCCGTCGATTTTGAGCGTCTGGCGGCCGGATCGAGCTGCCTGGGCGAGTGCCCCGCGTTCAGGTTGCCGTCTCGTGCGGCGTCAGTGCGTGCCAGCAGCCGGGAACGGTAGGCCGCCTGCGCCTGCCCCTGCGGCCTCCGCGAGCGCCCGGGCGTCAAGGGCGATGGCCTCGCCGGACTGCAAAAGTCCGTTGTCCGAGGAGAAGATCTCCCAGTCTGCCTCGGACGTCACAGAAGCCCGGCAGCTACTCTCCCAGTCCCAGCGGCCAGAGCCACAGCTGTGGTGTGCGTTCGGCTCCATGCTCATGCTCCTCGGATCGACGGCCAAAGCGAGGGTCGAGCCGTCGAGGGATCACATCACATGCCGGCTTCTCCCCGTCAGAGACAGAGACCTCACACACAGCAGTCTCCTCCCCGCTCTTTTATCGAGGGCCGCGCTCCGTTACCCAGACAGACGAGGGTCCTGCAAAAGCAGGCGCCGCGCCGCCGCCACCCCCCACCATCGGCACCATGCACGGTGTGTGGTAATCATCGTCATCATCTAGCGGTATGATGCGAGAATGATGGAGGGCCATTGGCCGCCTATTGGGCCACCTGCGGACCTGCTGCGTTGGGTCTGCATCGCATCCTCTCCAAAGACCCAAATGGTTGGTGCGCTAATGATCACCGTTCAGCCAGCAGGGGCACTTTTTCTATTTGCACTGCTTGATGCGTGCCTGTGCGGGCAGTGGGTGTGGGCATCAGAAAGAGCACGGCGATCCCTACGCCATTGCCATGGGTCACGGCCTCATGGGAATACGACGACGGTAGAATAGAAATGGCCTGAACCCAAAGATGACGGGAGAAATGGTCATCAGCGCCGTAAGCAAAGCTGCTCTTGTAGTACCATCGTCTCTGATCTCTCTCCATCTGCATTGATGATCGGGTGCTGCGGCCCAGTCCGAACCCTCTCTGATCCGATGCCGTGCTGAGGTGCCGCTACAGCAGCAAGCAAAGGCCAGTGTGGGTAGTGTGGCCTACGAGTACTAGTGGGCTAGCGACAGGTTAGGAACCTGCTCTCTGCTCGGGCATGCCGCTGCAGTCCGCAGTCCGCACCGTGCCTCGGGATGGGAAACGGGGATGGGACCGCGACTAGGCATGCATATCACCACCAGCCTATGCCTACCTTCCCCGGTGTCCGTGCGACTAGGGGCCAGGCCCGATTGCAAGTTTTCTCTCTCTATCGTATCAAATCTTTAAACATATGCATAGAGTATTAAATATAGATAAAAAAATAATTAATTATACAGTTTGATTATAAATTACGAGACGAATCTTTTAAGCCTAGATAGGCCATGATAGTACAATAATTATCAAATACAAACGAAAGTGCTTCAGTGTCAAATACTGATTTCTAACCATCATCCAAACAAGGCCCCGGTTTTGGATGCCAAATTTTTTGACAAAACGCTACTGTAACGTTTTCGTTGTTATTTGTCAATTAGTGTCCAATCATAGTCTAATTAGACTTAAAAGATTCGTCTCGTGGATTTCGTCTAAACTGTGTAATTAGTTTTATTTTTTATTTATATTTAATGCTTGATTCGATATGACAGAGAATCTTGAAAAATTTAGTATTTTGGGTGCCTAAACAGCAGGGCCTAGGCATGGAGATGGAGCACCCACTGCTCGCTGCTCTGCCGCTTCATCCTGCTGTACTAGTACACGACGAGTAGTAGTATATATATATACTACTACAGTTTGAAGGAAGCTGCGAGCCTGGAGGGTGGAGAGCCAGGTTTCTGTTGTGATTCTTGGTGCAACTGGCACCACAACTCACAGATTCATATACTCCTCCTAGCATAAACTTGGATTGAAGTATTGTAGATGGTTTTTTTGAGAAGGAAATCAGATATGGAAAAAGCAGCAAAACGTAACAAATGTCAGACGAGCTAGTTGTACGCCAAACCAAAGGAATGGTACAGGCCCACCATAAAAGCAGGCAGAATTCGAGTCTTTTGAGAGCAACAATGGCGAACTGTCCTTAGTCCTGCCTGCCCAACGTGACCTGTTTTCGTGCCAGAATTCGATCGCTCAACCTTTGCACGTACAGTATTGTAGCGGAAAATACACGTACTATATTTCACGGAGAGATAATACACGCGTAGTAGTCTTTCACCGTTGCTCTCGTAATATGCTTCAAAAATCGAGAACTTTCGTGCTCTTTCTTCATGAATTTTACAATACAAGAAGAAGAAAATAAACTCAGTTGTCTCAGATGCGAAATTGAAGATTTGAAGCTAGTAAGTAATACGGGCTACTTTATTGAGCATTACACACCATATGCAGAACAAGGTGCTACTACTACAACAATTCGATCACCACATCCATGCCCATCATCAGCTACTACGCTTGAAGCTACCAGCTACCACCACCTAGTTGCCCAGTCCATTTTCACAGCTTGGCATGCACAAAAAAAGAAGAAGAACAGGGAGGCGTGATCGACGCGACAGGTGTGCCAGCGCCATGGCGGGCGATCAGACTCTGAGGAGGTAGACGCTGAGCTCTGGCCCGCTATGGCCGCCATGGCCGCCGCTGCTGTTGTCCGGGTTCATCATGTAGAAGGCCTCCGAGTCGCGGGATCCCACGACGCGCTCGAACCTCGCGCGCATGTACATGACGTCGCCCTCGCCGCCGCCGCAGCTGGCGGCGGGGATGACGCCGGCGCCCATGGACACGGGCTCCAGCGCGCGGAGAACGCGCCAGTCCGCGGCGCCGCACTCGCGCCGCACCGCGTACCCGCAGCTCTTGCCGTTGCAGTAGGCGCGCCACACCGTCTCCTCCACCAGCTTCTTGCCTCCGCCGGCCGGCCCCCTCGCCCCGGGGGAGGGCAGCGCGGCCGCGGCGGACGAGCCCTTGGCGCGCTCGCACTCCAGCGCGATGCGCACCAGGCCCGAGGCCATCTCCCGCACCAGCGCCGCCGTGGGCGCCGCCAGCTCCAGCAGCAGTGCCGGGCACGCGCGCGGGTCCACCTGGAACGCCAGGTGCACGTGGCCGCGCCGGTGGCCGTACAGCGTGCCGGTGAGCCGCGCGCCCAGGCCCACCTGCCGGTGCCGCCCGGCCACGGCGTTGGCCAGCGCGGAACGCAGGCGCGACACGGCCGTCCGGACCTTCCTCCTCCTCTGCCCCGCCGCTGCCGGCGGCGGCGGATGCGGCTGGTGCAGCGCTGGCGCCGCACCCGGCGCCTTCAGCGGAGGGGACACGACGAAGCCCTCGGAGTGGAAGGACGGGCAGGCGGAGGAGAAGGCCATGGTCGCCTCGTCCTCCTCCTCCGCCTCCGAGCTGTTCATGTACTCGTCGGCCCCGAACGTGGCGGCGCCGTGGCTCTTGCTCTTGCCGAGAACGGGCCACTTGAAGTGCCGCCTGGAGAAGGAGAGCGAGTCGTGCGGGTTCCTCGCCGTGATGGTTCTCATGGTGGTGCGGTGCCTTGCTTGTCCTCTCCTTCTCCTTCCCTGAGCTAGCTCAAGCTTTCTTGAAGCAAGCAGAGGAATGCAATGGACTGGAGAGCCACGCGCTTGTGTTCGGCTGTGTGCGCCGCGAGGTTATATTCAAAGCTCAGCTGAACGTAGCTGTAGGAGTACGCTGCTCTGCTGCTCCCACTCGTTCCTAGTACTAGCCACCTCTGTCCCTGCACCACACCACAGTCCACAGGCACTGGTAGGGCCTTTGTACTGGGGAGGAGGCTGGTGAGCAGAACCCACCCGAACTGAGCAAACAGGACACGACACAGGAGAAAGATGAGAGAGAGAGACAGAGGAGTGCTGCTATGGGCTGTGGCTGAAGGCCCTGAGCCGGTGGGCCCTGCAGGTCTGGCCCTTGTTTCTTTCTCGTGAGGAAATGGTAGACAGGAACCGAGGCCTTGTTTAGGGGTGTTCGGATCGGGTCAGAGGTTGTCACGTGAGGACGTCACGTGAGGATGTCATACAGAATGTTTAGATATTAATAAAAAATAAATTATAGAATCCGTGAGTACTCCACGAGATGAATTTATAAAGCTTAATTAATCTGTTATTAGCGCATGTTACTATAACACTAAGTTGTCAAATCATGGACTAATTAGGCTTAAAAGATTCACCTCGCAAATTAGTCGCAAGCTGTCCAATTAGTTTCGTAATTAGTCTATATTTAATATTCCATATATGTGTCCAAACATCCGATAAGACAGCGACTAAAGTTTAGAAGGAGAAACCAAACATTCCTTTAGTTCCGGGAGTAAAGTTTTGGCGTGTCACATCGAATGTTACATGAGGTGTCGCACGGGGAATTCGGATACTAATAAAAAATAAATTACAGAATTCGTCAGTAAACCGCGAGATGAATTTATTAAGCCTAATTAACCTGTCATTAGCATCTGTGTGTACTGTAGCACTTTATTGTCGAATCATGGACTAATTAGGCTTAAAAGATTCGTCTCGCAAATTAGTCGTAATCTGTACAATTAGTTATTTTTTAGTCTATATTTAATACTTTATGCATGTGTCCAAACATTTAATGTGATAGGGTGCAAAGTTTTGACGTGGAAACTAAACAGGGCTGAGATCGTGGCAACGGGCCAGGATCGAGGAATTTACGGTTTAGGTGGTGTTTGGTTGCTCCTCCTAAATTTTAGTCGCTGTCTCATCGAATATTTGGACACATGCATGGAGTATTAAATATATACTACTTACGAAACTAATTGCATAGTTTGCGACTAATTTGCGAGACGAATCTTTTAAGCCTAATCAGTCCATGATTTGACAATGTGGTGCTACAGTAAACATGTGTTAATGACGGATTAATTAGGCTTAAAAATTCGTCTCGTGGAGTACCGATGGATTATGTAATTTATTTTTTATTAGTATCCGAACACCCTATGCAACATCCTCCCGACATAACTCCTAAATTTTAGTCACTGGATCAAACACCACCTTAATTAGATAACTGGGCCCCCTGAGACTGGGTGTGTACGTGTGACAGACAGAGAGTGACAAGAGAGAGGAGGGGCAGTGTCTGCTTTGAATTTGATGTCGAACTGAAGCTGACAGTACGCTGGAGGGGATTGTTAATTCGTGAGCACCTGTGAATGTGATTATGTTAATGGATGATGATGATGTACTGATGAGGCTAGAGTGGAGTGTTCATTGCCTTGTCGTCAGAGGTTTCTGTCTCCAGGTTCTCAGCGGTTTTTATGGGCAGCAGATTAGAAAAACAGCTACCGTCTTGATTAGGTTCCGAACAAACGAAGACTTGATCACCTGATTGGTAGTATGGTTGTCTGGTTGTCTGCTGAATTCTCATGGAGAAGAGTAAAACTATATATATAATTTGTCAGGGTAAGTAAATTCTCTGATCGGCGTCTGCAAGCTACTGTTGGAGTATACGTACCTATAAGCACGTCTAGTCAGTGACCACTGCTGAGCATTGACATGCTGAAAACTACGTTATAAGAATCGAAGCGTCTTTGTCAGAAACACAAGCGAAACCAACGCAACTAATGAAGCATGTTCCTTTAAATACGGGAACAGATGGCCATGCAGTGCCGCTTTATCTAAGGGCTTATTTGGCAGGACTTCATTTCACTAGTAAAGCTTTTTATTTTCTTCAGCTTTACGAACAGTTTCACCGGTGGAGCTGAAGCGGTTTTGGTAAACCGTTTGATAAAATGGCTTCTCTGTGAGAGCATGTTTTTAGGGGCCTGGAGGAGAAGCCAGGAGAAGCCACTTTTTTTTCTCCATCCCACCCCAAATCATTGTGAGAGCATGTTTTTAGGGGCTTCACCAGTGAAGCTATTTCACTTTACACCGTTTGACAGAAAACGGCTCCAAACGGCTCCTGAATCTGGTGGAGAAGCCTTGCCAAACAGGACCTAACTGTACCGAACGGCGGCTCGTAGTCGTAGCTGCTCTTCTCCTCCCAGTGCGACGGTGCGAGGACGAGCACAATTAAAACCGAAACAGAAAAGCTAAACATCACCCGGGTGATTTAGAAGCTCCCATCAATCGATTCTGTAGCCACCGGATTTGGGGCGCGGACGGCCGAATCTTCTCCTGTCGCAGCTGCCTTCTTCTTCCTCCCCCGCAACTGCGCCCACCGTCTTCTTTCCCATCTCCGGCGCGACGAATAGGGTTCCGGCGAACTCTCCCCCGGTATAGAAGAGGCCGGCCGGGGGAGACAGGTAGGCCAGATGGTGGGAATGGTAGATGGGCGGCTTAGGGGAGCTGGCGGCAACAGGGACGGACGGGCCAGCTCGGGGCGGGGGAGGCTCGCTGGAGCTGGAGAAGATGGCGGCGAGCAAGCTCGCCGAATGTGGCAGAATCGTCTAATCTAATGCCTCCCAGAAGTATTGTCTTCCATTAAACACTAAGTACCAAAGAGAGGATACTAAACTACGTAGTTCTGTCGAGCACACCCCAAGGGAGAACTCAAAAATCCATATTTTTCCATCAGGATCTTAAATAAGAGAATAAAGCTTACAACATTTATAAGTTATTTCTTACATCACTTTATTACAGTACCATAATATTACCTTAATTTATTATAACAGCGGAATATAATAATGTTATCAGAATTACAGGGGAAGCAGGATTAAGTTAAGGACATGGTGGAGCATTAATATAGTGGACATTATATACAAGAGATGTTAACAGATTTTACATCTTTTCTTATAAAAATCTTTAGTAAGGGTTATAAATAAACACTATAGTCGTAGCGTAAAAGGATCCCTCCCTGAGCCCACCAGGAGGTTTTCACACACAAGAGTCAGCTCTAAGCATCCTCCGATCACCTGCAATAGAGGAATAAAACCTTGAGTACTCGAATGTACTCAGCAAGACTTACCCGACAGGAAAAAAATAAAAGACTCCAATGATATACAAGGCTATCTGGCTTGTGGGTTATTGTGTCTGCGGAAACATTACTAAATGTGCGTCCTTATATTCAATTTCATTAGCAGTCATCATTAGTTCATCAACTAACAATTCTATGTAAGCACATGTGCTACTTTCAAGCAGATGGTAAGCAATCAGAACTATTTTACTATCTTTCATATTTCAGTTCTTACTACGGTGCTAAATCATAGCCAAGTCATACCGTATCATATGGCGATTCGCGAACCAATGTATCCCAGCTGGGTACCCCGAAACATGCGCCCCGCTTGTACCCCAGGCATAAGCAAGACCAACCCACCACTCTCACGTTAAGGGGTCCAAGGCCCCGTCCAAACCCGGACTCTAAGCCCTCACTCCTGAGTCCCAAACTTAGTGTGGTGCTTAGATATCCACCATCCCCGTCTCCAATCAGTCAGTCCGGAAAGAGCACCTAATAATATAAGGAATTTACTGTGAAAATTTCAAAGCCAAACTATCACCTATTTATCACAAAAATCACTACAAGTTTATATTTTACAATATTAAGCATCTCAATTTAATTAGATAACTCTAGAAAATATTATAAAACTATGTGAACAAAATATACTAGCAAATAGATCATGATTTTAGGAATTTAACAAAATTGATTTCACAATTTTTGGTTAACTACACAATTTTATATTAAATTTACAAATTTATCTTAGGAGATAAATTAGAAAATGCTTAGAAAAGAAAAAGGACCGGTGGCGACCATTTTGGCCCGGCAGCCTTGCGCGGCGCAGTTGCGAGCGCGTCGCGACGGCCCAGCACGGCCCATGGCTGGGGGCGCCCTCGCGTGCTCGCTTTTTGCAAAAGAGGGCTCGGGTTTTTGAATAATCACACGGAGCAACAGAACACTATTACTACAGACTCACGTTTTGCATTAAAGACCCTGGAATGTGTTGCCTTTGCAACAGGGCGGTCCTCAGCGTACCAGCGCGTGGCGGCGCGGCACATCGACGGCAACGACGGTTACGTCGGGCAAACTAGGCTCGCTACGGCGGCATTAAGGGACCGACCATCATTTACAACTAAACGCGCAAGGATGGGTGGCGGTTATGGACTCGGAGGCGCACTGTCGCGGGCTGCAGCAGCGAGCGGTTATTCACGGCGGCGGCGCGACTGTTCCAACGATCCTACGTACGCTTGGCGGAGTAGAAGTGGCGGATAAGCATTAGTGGCTCACCGTGGTGTACGCCCTACTGACGGTTGAAGCAGGGGAGCGCTGCGATGGTCTGCCCACGTGCGACCGAGCGAGGCGGCGGCGCTCTACGATGGACACCGTCGCGTCACCCCACCGACGATAAGCACCCTTGAAAAAGCAGTGCGAGCACCAGATAGAGGGAGTCAAGGCGAGCTTAGGGTTACGAGCAATTGAACTGCTACCACTCCTACCTACCTTACCCCCAACCCTCTGGTCACGGCGGAGCACATGACCGGCGGCGAGGAGAAACCGAAATTGATCATTGACAGACCACGGCTGGGCTCGATGAGAATGCGACACCTAGCTAACTTGCTATGCTACCCAC